AATAGAGTGGTGTCATCTGAAAGCTCTAGCGATGATATATTGTAAAGATCTAGAGTTTTTGCAGAGGGGCGTGTCTGTGGTGGCATGACAAACCTCAACGCTTCGCCATGGAACAGGAATGCCTTATAACTCAACCACACAATGTCTGATCTGCCTGAAACTTCACATGATTGATAAAAGTCCTCTCCTGAACACATCTACATAACAATACTGAGTCAGTCATAGCGCCACCTGCTGGCAGAATGTAGTTTGTCTTATAACACAATCTCCACACAATCTCTGATCTGCCTGAAACTTCACATGGTTGATAAAAGTCCGCTCCTGAACACATCCACATAACAATATTAAGTCAGTCATAACGCCACCTGCTGGCAGAAGGTAGTTTGGCTTATAAGTCAGCCACACAATGTTCCATGTGCCTGAAACTTCACATGGTTGATAAGATTCCTCTCCTTAAGACATCTACATGCCAATCTTAAGTCACAGTTATAGCGCCACCTGCTGACAGGAGGAGGTTTGGCATAAATCTGTGATTTTCTTAGATTTTTTTTTATATATCGGCTTAAATTATTATTGTTCGCTGTTCTCTGTCATCGTAACGTCACCGGGCGGCGGTGAGCCCGGGTGCGAGGTCCCTTTCATCGCTGCTTGCAGCTTTAATTCTTCTTCTTCTTCTTCTTCTTCTTCTTCTTCTTCCGCGGAATGAATCGCGGTTTTGAGGGGCTAAACATGCCCGAAAACTCACGCAACTTTGCACACGCCTCAGAAGTGGCGAAAATTTACGTTTGTTAAGGGCTTCGGAAGTGGGCGTGGCAAAATGACTCGACAGCGCCACCTAGAAAAATTAATCGGACGAGCCCCCGATATACGAATCACGCACATGCACGAAAATTGGCACACACCTCAAACATGCCAAAACATACGAAAAAGTCTCTTGGAGCCATATCTCAAACCCAACAGGAAGTCGGATATTTTTAACTTCCTGCGGCGAAAAAGTGGCGTTTTTGCCATTTCCAGGCGTTGTATTTTAACGAACTCCTCCTAGGGATTTTATCCGATCGACACCAAAATTGGGTTTTGTCATCTAAAGGCCTTGGCGATGTTAAATTGCGAAGCTTTAGAGTTTTCGTCGATGGGCGTGTCCGTGGCGGCCTCGCAAACTTTGCAATTCGCCACAAAACAGGAAGTCGTTATAACTCAGGCATGCATTATCCGATCTGCCTCAAAATTCACACGCTTGATAAGCGTCCTGACCTGAACACGTTTACATGCCAATATCCAGATACAGTTACAGCGCCACCTGCTGGCCACAGGAAATGACATAATTTACGGAGTAATAAACTCCTCCCACAAATTTTATCGTATCAGCACCAAAATTGGGTGGTGTTATCTGAAAGCTCTAGCGATGATATATTGTGAAGATCTAAAGTTTTCGCAGAGGGGCGTGTCCGTGGCGGTATGACAAACCTCAACGCTTCGCCATGGAACAGGAAGTCCTGATAACTCAACCACACAATGTCCGATCTGCCTGAAACTTCACATGGTTGATAAACGTCATCTCTTGAACACATCCACATAACAATATTAAAGTGGGCGTGGCAAAATGACTCGACAGCGCCACCTAGAAAAATTAAACGGATGAGCCCCCGAGCTACGAATCACGCACATGCACGAAAATTGGCACACACCTCAAACATGCCAAAACATACGAAAAAGTCTCCTGGAGCCATATCTCGAACCCAACAGGAAGTCAGATATTATTAACTTCCTGCGGCGAAAAAGTGGCATTTTTGCCATTTCCAGGCGTTGTATTTTAACGAACTCCTCCTAGGGATTTTATCCAATCAACACCAAAATTGGGTTTTGTCATCTTAAAGCCTTGGTGATAATAAATTGCGAAGCTTTAGAGTTTTCATCGATGGGTGTGTCCATGGCGGCCTCGTAAACTTTGATGATTCGCCACCAAACAGGAAGTCTTTATAACTCTGGCATGCAATATTCGATCTGCCTCAAAATTCACACATTTAATAACAGTCCTGACCTAACCAGGTTTACGTGCCGATATCCAATTACAGTTATAGCGCCACCTGCTGGCCACAGGAAATGACATGTTTGACACTATAACAAACTTCTACCACAAACTTTCCCGTATCAGCGCCAAAATAGAGTGGTGTCATCTGAAAGCTCTAGCGATGATATATTGTGAAGATCTAGAGTTTTTGCAGAGGGGCGTATCTGTGGTGGCATGACAAACCTCAACGCTTCGCCATGGAACAGGAAGTTATTATAACTGAACCACACAATGTCTGATCTGCCTGAAACTTCACATGATTGATAAAAGTCCTCTCCTGAACACATCTACATAACAATATTGAGTCAGTAATAGCGCCATCTGCTGGCAGAAGGTAGTTTGGCTTGTAACTCGGCCACACAATGTCCGATCTGTCTAAAATGTCACATGGTTGATGAAAGTCCTCTCCTGAGCACATCTACATAATAATATTGAGTCTTTCATAGCGCCACCTGCTGGCAGAATGTAGTTTGTCTTATAATACAATCTCCACACAATCTCTGATCTGCCTGAAACTTCACATGGTTGATAAAAGTCCGATCCTGAACACATCCACATAACAATATTGAGTCAGTCATAACGCCACCTGCTGGCAAAAGGTAGTTTGGCTTATAACTCAGCCACAAAATGTCCCATGTGCCTGAAACTTCACATGGCTGATTAAATTCCTCTCCTGAAGACATCTACATGCCAATCTTGAGTCACAGGTATAGCGCCACCTGCTGACAGGAGGAAGTTTGGCATAAATCTGTATTTTTCTTAGGTTTTTTATATATATATCGGCTTATATTATTATTGTTCGCTGTTCTCTGTCATCGTAAGGTCACCGGGCGGCGGTGAGCCCGGGTGCGAGGTCCCTATCATCGCTGCTTGCAGCTTTAATTTTGTTTTGTTTTTTTGTTTTTGGCATGACAAATTTGTGCTGGTGCCACTTCCAATTTCCCACTGACTAGCATTGGCAGTCTGTTTAGAAACACTGTTGAATGTGCCAAAAGTGCAAACCAGCATTAAGGAGCAATGCAATATAATAACTTTTTTTTTTTGTCACATTAGTTGTGCTCTTGGCTTAACTAACTTTCATTAGGCTATTATATCACATTGCAAATTGCATAGAAACCATACTGTTCGCTGAAGTAGTGAGGTTTTTATCAATATGTGCAATTTTATTAACTAAGAGGCTGTTACAATTCTTACAGATGACAACATATACATCATTTATTGTGCCGAATCAGGTGCTGATGCCACCATGTGTTAAAAACAGGAGACACTGGTGCTACTGTTCTTAAATGTTAATCTAAAAGTTTGGTAAAAATGGCGTAAATATCAATAACAGTATTGCATCGATTTAAGGTTTAAAATGTCAATTTTAAAGATTTTAATTCTCCTAAATTATTCAGTAAGGGGCTGCAATGCTCATTTAACCGCTTGGGCCCAGCATTCATATTAAATAAACTCAAACTGTAGAACATACTTTAAAGGTGCAGTAGATGATTGTCTTTAAAAACATGTTTTGTTGTGCTGGTTGAAAGTCTTTTCACATTCCAATAGTAATAATTAAAGTAAATATCTAAATTTATTTATACGTATTTTTATATTCTGGGTAAGGCATAGGACTAAAAGATGTTCATCCAATTGAATATTGTTGGGCCAACATTTCCTATAATTCTGATAAGTAGCTTAAGCTGTCTGTCAGCAAAAGTAGATTTGTACATCTGCAGCCATTCATGCAGATCTGCCGTTAGAGCGTGGACGTGCGCCTCACATTAATGTGCACTCGATCTGCGCGTTCGTGAGCACATAAGACTGTCACAGAGGTAAAAACAAATGCTGAATATAAACTTTTTAAAATCCTGAACCATTACTGGAGTTACTTTTGCATGCCGGAGAAGGGACAACACCGTGGCTTAAGTATTTCTTAAATTTAGAGCAGTATTAATTTAAAAATAAATGTCTCTTTTTGAGTAAATCATGCCTGAAAAAAGATCATTTTTACTTCAAAATTTCAACTAGAACTAGCACAAAAAGTGCATTATAAATCAAAGCCAGTAGCACTGCTTGAAAGCAAAAAGTGTGAATGGAAAAAAAAAAGATTCTTGCAGTGCTATCTTCAATAAGAAACAGTATATTGTGGCTAATAAAAGACCACAAGGACTTTGACTATGTTTTTCCACCACATACTCCATGAATAGTTATGAATGAAACAATTCTTTGGTAAAAACCAAACCAAATGTGTCAGGTGTTTCAGTCGAGATCCCAGCTCCAAAGCAACATTCTTAAATGATGTCAATAAGCCAATAAAGCGCATTTTCTCTGATTAGCTCAATATCTCTCCTGCCAGACATCGAATGCTATATAGCTTGTGGAGAGGCCAAAGAGCTCTTCTCGGATGATTAACAAGGACCGTGAGTATATACTGTGGCATGATAAGGGGGAATGTGAGAGAAGCAGTGACAGCATAAACACTTCATGCTGAGATCAGTGCTCTTCTCTGGAAAAAGCTTGGGATTTCTTGTCAGGTTGAATAGATGTTAAATGTGGACTGCGTGAACTTTGTCAGTGCTGAAGGAGATATGCTCTGAGAGGACTGCTGCTTCAGCGGGCGCCTCAAGCCTTAGACAACAAAATCTTTTCTTTTTTTTCAGTATGTGCTTATGTAAGTACGCTTTCATATCTCGATTCTATCCTTTTCCATTGCTGTGAACCACTTCACACGTCCACAATCTGTCTTAAGAGGAGCATACTGGATTTCCTTAAAAACATCAATGAGATGTTCACAGAAACCTTGTGTAAGAGGTATTAATGAAATGAGACAAAGACTGACCTTTTTCACAGTATGAAAATATTTAGGTTATAGTTTTGTGTATGGAAAATGTCATAGGATGTAGCAAGGACAAAATGTTTGAAAGCATGAAGCACCGAAAGGTCAAACCTTGCATGCCGGTGGGGCCGAAGCCTTGGCGGGTGAGAAAGATGGCATGGTCGTGATGCTCAGAGTGCTCTGGATCCTCTTTCTGCTGGACGAACGCCCATCGGCACACATTCTCCAGGCTTCGGGAAGGGTTGCCACGCTCAATCAGACTGATGGACTGACAAAAAAGATTACAGACTTATCAGAGGACACTTTCAGCATTCATTAATCTACAAATGCACAATTTCAAATTTTTCATCAAACTATCCGAAACCCACTAGAACAATGTTATATTTTTAGCTGAATTGTCTACTTGCATTATACCAACTATTTCAAATAATGTTTCAATCCTGAGAAATAAGCATTTTTAACTAGCTTAATGGGATAGCACAGTGGCTCAGTGGTTGGCACTGTCGCCTCACAGCAAGAAGGTGGCTGATTCAAGCCCCAGCTGCATCAGTTGGCATTTCTGTGTGGAGTTTGCATGTTCTCCCTGTGTTCACGTGTATTTCCTCCGGGTTCTCCGGTTTTCCCCACAAGTCCAAAAACATGTGCTATGGCTGAATTAAATGAACTAAATTGGCCATAGTGTATGAGTGCGTGTGTGAATGCAAGAGTGTATGGGTGTTTCCCAGTGATGGGTTTCAGCTGGAAGGGCATCCGTTACGTTCAACATTTGCTAGATAAGTTGGTGGTTCATTCTGCTGTTGTCACCCCTGATAAATAAAGGAACTAAGCTGAAGGAAAATGAACTAGTGACAGACCGTGTCATGTGTTGTCAGGGTAATTGCATCATACACTCCTGATTTTCCGTTTGGTTTTACATACAACAGGTATACACCAAAGGTGCTTTAATGTGTTTGTCTGTTTATTTGTTTGTTTAGACTAGTGGTACCACAAGTGGTACGCAGGCTTCCTTCTATTGGTGCGCAAAGAAATCGATGAATAATTCAAGCAAAAACTGAACACACTTTTAACCTCTTTACACGTACGATAACAATGATGTGATCAGGAAATTAATTTCATTAGGCTAAACTTTTTATTTTATTTTCATTTTTCTAATTTTTATTATGTATTCTATCATTTGAGGTTATTTTCCTCCCCATACTTGTAACGGTTGTTTGGGGCATATATTTTTGTATGCCAATGTTGACAGGTATAGCTTAATCACTTGCTTCTCTGACAAACATAGTATACTCTAACGAGCAGTAAGCAGATCTAATTTCTAATTTAAATATGTAAATCCAATTCATATATTTAAAATATAAGTTAACATTTGCACATTGTTTCAGTTATTATCCACATTAGCATACATTGTTATTGCAGACAACAAACCATCTCGCAATTATTTGTGAATTAGAATGCAGGTATAAAATGACCTGTTTGTTGTAGTCTATTATGAGCTCAAAATAATATATATTTAAGCAGTTTTTTGCATGCAGTTGTGAATGGTGAATAGGGTTTTAATGCACTCATACCACAATTAGACTAATCGTGTGGTTAGAGGCAGTATTTCTCCCTCTCCCCCACTCTCCTTCTCAGCTTTACCTTTTTTTTTTAAAACTGTGATAGTAACTGACCTGTGCTGAAAAGGGGATTTATGTCACATTAAAAATTTACTATAAAAAATGTCCTGTGACCTATTTAAGACTGTAAACTTCTTCAGCTGTAATAGTTTTTGACTGCAACTGTTTTAAAAACTACTGTCGGGTTAGCTTTGCCAATGCTTGGAGGAGCTTTTTGTGTAATGTGTATGTGTGCCTGCCTTTTCCTGGCAATATGCCAGGGTTATGATTAAATAATAAAAGTCTGATCATTAGGGCCTCGACAAACATTACTGAGCTTGTTCACAACAGTCAGAAGTGCAAGCTTCCTGTCAGAAAGCTGTATATATTATCTATTAAGTGTGTATAACTATAAAGAATCTGTGAAGTCAGTGGATCTGTTGACTTCGTAAAATCTTAATAAACTACCCCATGGTACTGACTTTTTTTGCCTAGAAAATGTGTGTATATATACAATGGTGTGAACAAATCTTTGCTCTCTTACTGATTATCTTAATTTTGCACATTTGTCACACTTCGTAAAATTCATCATGAAGATCAGGAAACAACTGTAAATATCAGTTGCAGAAAACACATTATGCATTTTCTAAATGATGGTTTGTATTATTAAGTGAAAACAAAATGCAAATCTACATAGCCCTGTGTGAAGACGTGGGTCACTCTTAGCAGCAAAAACTGCAATCAAGTGTTTTCGAGTCTATTATAGCACTGTGCGGGAATTTGGCCAGCTCATCTTTGCACAATTGTTGTAATTCAGCCAGTGGTCATGCCACAGCTTCCCAATAGGATTCAGGTCAGGATGTTGACTAGGTCACTCCAAAGTCTTTTTGTTTTTCTTCACCCATTCAGAAGTGGACTTGCTGATGTGCTTTGAATCATTGTCCTGCTGCGAAACCCAATTTTGGTTCAGCTTGAGCTCCCTAACAAATGGTCGGACATTCTCCAGGTTGTTTGGGACTTGTGGAGCTGTGCATCGATGGATTTGCTCTTCAGTATTTGGACTTTCAGCAGTAAAATTTAAACTGGAATCTCAACTAAACTCAGCTCTGAAAACTCTACTGACACAGTTTCAATGTATTAGAACCTCTATGTTAAGCTGCTTTCTACATTTTAAAAGCTCTATATTAATAAAGATTAATTGAAATGAACTTATATCCACACAGCGGAATTCATAGTTGCAATTATCACAGCACAATGTGCAGGATTGTTCCTGAAGCAACAAAACAGCTCAATACATACACAACCACCATCACATTTTAATGTTGGTATGATGTTCTTTTTCTGAAATGTAGTGATACTTTTATGCCACACATAATGGGACACACACCTTCCAAGTTTTTCAACTATTGTCTCATTAGTCCACAGAGTATTTTTTCCCCAAAAGTCTTGGAAATCATCAAGATATTTTCTGGCAAAGCTGAGCCTTTATGTTTGTGCAGCTCAGTGGTGGTTTTCATCTTAGAACTCTGCCATGCAAACAGTTATTGTTATGTCTCTCTACATTCACCTTAACTGAGGCAAGTGAGGCCTGCAGTCCTTTGGATGTTGTTGTGGGGGTCTTTTGTGACCTCTTGGTTGAGTTGTCGCTGCACTCTAATTTTGGTCGACCGGCCACTGCTGGGAAGGAATTCTCCACTGTTCGATGTTTTTGCCATTTGTAGATAATGGCTCTCACTGTGGTTTGCTGAAGTCCCATGGCCTTAGAAATGGTTTTATAACCTTTTCCAAACTGGTACATCTGAACTATTTTTCTTCACACAGGGCTATGTTGTTCTTCCTTAATGATAACATCTTTATTTAAAATCTGAACGGTGTGTTTATAATCTATAACTAGCATTTAAATTAGTTTGCTGATCTGAAACATTAGGGTCTGACAAACATGCAAATTGTTTATCATTATTATTATTTTTTTTTTGTGCATCCCAGTCACACTGAAAATGCAAAATTTGGCAAATTCAACGCAAAACATTGCCTACATTTTTGTAATACATGAAAATGTCAAATAAAATACATTGCTCTGGGTACATTTTGTTGCACGTTTTTAGATGACAAATGCATCTGCATATATGTATCTTTTGTGTACATGCCCACAAGAAAGAACGTTCGAGGTTACTAAAGTAACCCTTCGTTCCCCGAGGAGGGGAACGGAAGCACTATAAGTGGATTTGATTGTAAAATCCACGCATTGGGAGGTTCGGTTCAGAAGCTACTCGTCTGAAAGAGTATTGAACGGGCCAATTAAGAATGAATTGGCAGCGCAAGCCTGCGCAGGTGAGCGGCATAAGCAATCAACTGAGTATATAAGCTCACCTGGCGCCAGCAGACGCTATCCTTTTTAAGCTGAAGAGACTTTCAACAGCTAAGGGACAGTCATTATGGCGACGGAGTATAGTGCTTCCGTTCCCCTCCTCGGGGAACGAAGGGTTACTTTAGTAACCTCGAACGTTCCCCTTCGGGGGGAACTTCAGCACTATAAGTGGATTTGATTGTAAAATCCACGCATTGGGAGCCCATTGAAAGCGCCATAATGACTGCACCTTACCAACACCCCCGATGAGGAGATAGTCAAGCAAGCGTGACGCACCCACATCATGGGGGGCGCGGTCCTCCAACGTGTCCCTGGCCCTAATTTATCCTACTTCAACAGAAGTTTTACGGATTTATATATATTTTTTTGGGAAGTCGTGAGCATCTAGATAATTCTAGGAAAATACGACAGTACGTTGGGAAGCGTGCAATCCCGATAGGGAGGACGCTGCGGAGGCCATCCGTTACCCAAGGGGGGATAGATGGCAGAATTTACATATGGACTAGCCCTAAAAGGGGGAGTACGCATAGCAAAAGAGTGGTTAGCGGGGAGGGAAGACACGGGTCCGCCCAGGGGGGGACTTAACCGTGGCTGAATAAGCATATGGGATCGCCTAGTGGGGACCACGCATAGCAGGCACCTTTACCCAAAACGCGGGCTGACCAGCGGGCAGACCTACAACGTAGTGGGCCAGCAAGTGACTCCTCCGCTGAGTCAGTGCTGGGGGCCACGGAGGAATCTGCAGGGCTCACCTGATGGGGAACTTTACTGACAGATAAAAAGGCGCACGTATCTCCGTGTTAGGGAAAATGGCGCAGCAAGCGTGTTTCAACACCCTACCGAATTGTTTCCTCAATCACCAAGGGTTACCTAATACCCTTGAGGAAACCAGCTCCACTCGCAGATTGTAAAACCTTGCAAATGTGTTGGGTGTCACCCAGCCCGCAGCTCTACAGATGTCTGTTAGAGGGGCGCCGCTTGCGTGCGCTCGAGAGGATGCGAAGCTCCGAGTGGAGTGCGCACGCGCTCTCGGGGGACGCGGCTCATCTCGGCTCTGATAGTGAAAGAAGGCATCCACAATCTAGTGGGAACTTATTTCGGTACGGCACTTCCCTGCTGCCGACCGCTATAACAGACGAAGAGCTGCTCAGATGATCTAAACTCTGAGTGCGGTCCGGATAATACGCAAAACGCGAACTGGACAATAAATAAGGGCTGGGTCTGCCTCCTCCGAGGGCAGCGCTTGCAGGCTCACTACCTCGTATTAAAACGGAGTGGTAGGAACCTTGGGCACATATCGCGGGCGGGGTCTCATACGTGAGAGAAGCCAGCCCAATTACAGGCACGAGTCACTGACCGAAAAATGCCTCCGGGTCCCCGACCCTCTGATCGATATCAACGCGACCAGCAGAGCTGTCTTCAGGGACAGAAATATACTGAGTCGAGGATCGAAGGGATCTGACGCGGCTTGTGTAGCGAGGGCGAGATCCTAAGAGGGCATGAGAGGGGGCGGGGTGGATTAATTCGCTTAACGCCCCTGAGGAACCGGATGATGAGGTTATGCGTTCCCACGGTGCTGCCAGCCACCGCGTTATGAGAGCGGAGATGGCAGCCACGTAACCTTGAGTGTGGAGGGCGACAGCCTGCTCTCCAGCTTCTCTCGGCGTAAAGAAAGCACAACGCTGATCTGGCAAATTACGGGGGTCTTCTCAGCGAGAGACACACCATTCAGTGAATAGACTTCACGTCAGGGCATAGGCGCGCTCGGGGAGGGGGCTCTAGCCCGAGTGACGGTATTAGCCTCCGCAATCGGAGGTTACCTAAGTCTTCCTCGCGTCTAAAAATCTCCAAAGATCGACGAGGGTGCCAGGTGGTGCCCTGTCCCTGAGAGAGTAGGTGCTCTCTCGAAGGGACTGCCAGGGGAGGGCTATCGCGAGGGAGAGCTCTGACATCCAGGTCCGGTTGAGCCAGAGGGGCGCAACCAGCAACCTGTTCCTCGTCCTCCCTGACCATGCACAGTAACTGCGCGAGCAGGCTCACTGGGGGAAACGCGTATTGCGCGTGCCCCGAGGCCAGCTGTAAGCCAGTGCATCCGTGCCGAGAGCGCTCGGTCAGGGAAAGAACAACTGGCAATGAGCGATCTCGGGGGAAGCAACAGATCGATCTGGGCTTCCCCGAATCGCGCCCATATCAGCTGAACAGACTCGGGGTGGAGTCTCCATGCTCCAGGACGCAAGGCTGCCGTGAGAGCGCATCGGCTGCACGGTTGAGCTTGCCTGAATATGAATGGCGTGCAGCGATTTCAGCCGCGGATGACTCCAGAGGAGCAGACGGCGGGCGAGCTGAGACATGCGGCGAGAGCGCATACCCCCTATACGGCTGATATACGCCACCGCCGCCGTACTGTCCGTCCTGACCAGCACGTGTTGCCGCTCCAGCACCGGAAAAAAACGGTGGAGAGCGAGGAACACTGCCAACAGCTCCAGGCGATATGCCAATGCAACTGGGTACCTTTCCACAGGTCCGCAGCCGCATGCCCGCAACGCACAGCCCCCCAGCCCGTGTTGGAAGCGTCTGCTGAAACGACAACAAGACTGGACGCCTGTTCTAGAGACACCCAGGCCTGTAGGAACGATGGGTCGCTCCAAGGGCTGAGGGCGCGGCGACACAGCGCAGTAACAGAGACTCGGTGTGCGCGCGCGTGCCATGCGCGTCTGGGGACTCGATCGTGAAGCCAGTGCTGAAGTGGTCTCATATAGAATAATCCGAGCGGCATGAAGCGGCTGCGGATGCCATATGCCCCAGGAGCCTCTGAAATAGTTTCAGTGGGACCACTATTTTACTGTCGAGCTCTCTCAGACAGTACAGCATCAGCTGAGCGCGCTCTCCGGAGAGGCGCGCTGCCATGGTGACCGAGTCCAGCTCCAGCCCGAGAGAAGAGATCCTCTGCACGGGGGCGAGTTTGCTCTTTTCTCGGTTGACCTGAAACCCCCACAGGTGGAAGTGCCAGAGCACTTTGTCTCTGTGCATAATCAACTCTGTGCATAATCAAAGAGAGGGCAAATTCAGCCAGTCGTAAAGAAATTGAGTATGCAGATGCCCGCGAGCCGAAGGGGCGCTGAGGCACCCTCCGCGGGCTTGGTGAGGACCCGCGGAGACAGAGAGAGCCCGAAGGGGAGGGCTTTGTATTGCCAAGCTCGACCTTCAAACGCAAACCGCAGAAACTGTCGGTGGCGAGGAAGAGTGGAGACATGGAAATACGCGTCCATCAGGTCTAATGCTGCAGACCAACCCAGAGGACGAACGCACCGGAGGATGCGCTTCTGCGTTAGCATTCTGAACGGCAGCTTGTGCAGGCAGCGGTTCAAAACGCGCAGATCTAGGATTGGCCATGACCCACCGCTCTTTTTGGGCACGATGAAGCGTGGGCTGTAAAACCCGCTCTCCATCTCGGCTGGAGGGAGCGGCTCGATTGCATCCTTCGCCAGGAGGACAGCAATCTCCTCTCGCAAGACAGGGGCGGACAGGGGGCTGACCCTGGTGAATACACACCCGTGACTTGGGGGGCCGTTTCGCGAACTGAATCGCATAGCCGAGTCTGATTGTGCGTATGAGCCACCGCGAAGAGCTGGCCCGCGCTAACCAGGCAGGCAGAGCTCTCGCTAATGGACTCATCGCTACAATCGCTGACGTACCAGCAGTGGGGCAGCGCGGAGTGGGTGTGCTGATCCGGGAAGCTCGCGGGTCCCACGGAAAAGCTGGAGGTGAGATATTTGCTCTCACTCCAAACCCGAGCTCCGGAGGGGAGGCTCGAGGGGTGGGAGAAAGGAGACCATCCTCCCAGCGCTCGTGAGCCACTGGCGAAACGCACCGAATCTGCAAGCTAGAAAGCATAGCGTCCCAGACTGGCAGATTTCGGGCTGTCACATCTGGGGAAGTGAAAAGTGCCCTTTCATAATGTTTTCATGGCAGTAAAAAGTGCCGTTGGAAATGGGGCCCCGCCCTCCAGCGGGGAAAGAGCAAGTTCCCTCTTCTCCAGATGGCCTGTCCCAGGGGCGCTTCGCGGTCCGTTGCCGGACTTAGCGGCGTTCTGGGCAGGGGGGCTGCCTGCTTCCGAGGTGCCCGACGCGCTCGCTTCGCCGAAGGCGTGTGCGGGGGCGGAGCAGCTCTCGTAGGCGGGCGCTTTCGGCGAGGAGCAGGTATGAATGGCACGGCGGGCGGAGCGGGCTACGGACCGCCGATAAGACATCACCCACCAACTGCTCTCTCACCGTCTTGAATTCCTGGGTGAATTCACAGACAGTGTCGCCGAACCTGGCTGGGGATATGGGGAAGTCAAGAAAGCAGACTTTGTCGACTTTGCGCATATCAGCCAGGGGTGGCGCTCCTGGACCACTAATGTGGACATCGTCCTCCCCAACGCACACGCAGCGGACTCAGTAGTCCGAAGAGCTAAGTCGGCGGCGGTGCGAAGCTCGTAAGCCTGGGTTGGACCCACCCTCGTGCAGCTCGGCCAGCGCCTGCGCTTGGTAGCGCTGGTAGGTGGCTATCGCATGCAAGGCGGAAGCAGCCTGGCCCGCAGCTATGTAAGCTCTAGCTCCGAGGGAGGTAGATAACTTACAGGCTTTGGATGGGAGACGAGGCGAACCCGCCAAGAAGAGGCGCCGCGCGGATTTACCGCCATCGCGCACTCAACCTGAGGAATCGCCACATACCCCCTGGCTGTTTCACCGTCAAGAGTGGTTAGGGTGGAGGAACACGCAGCACGAGCAGAAAAAAGTGCTTTACAAGACCGCGTGAGCCTACTGTGCACCTCCGGGAAGAAGGGAACGCCCCTCTAGTCGGTCCGGCCGCGGAGCTGGGGGATAAACCATCTCCAACCCACGGCCGAAGCAGCCCGGGAAAGCACGGCTAACATGTCCGTTTCAGGATCCGTAGTGACAGCGCTCACCAGCCCGAAGGGGGCGAGCGGGTCTGGATCATCATCGGACAATGAAAGCCCACCCTCCGATGCCGCGGTGGACATCTGGTCTCCGGTGTCATCGGGCGTAAGGGCTACCATCTGTTAGACGGATCGCTTCCCCCGCCCGAAGCTTGGATGGAGCGCTTAGAGGAGCGGGAGGTCCGCGGGCCCGTGGGCGACGGATTATCTCTCGCTGAAACCCTCAGATCTGCCCGAGTGCCCGCTGCAGAGCAGGGGACAACTGGGGTGGTTCGCCCTTTTGCAAAGGCTAACCGCGATCTTGCGCAACAGTCATGGCATCGCAATGACGACATGAACTGCCCGCGAGCAGCGCATTAACATGCTGGACCCCCAGACATGTAACGCAGTGCCCGCGCCCATCATCCGAGGACAGGAAACCACCGCATCCAGAAACGCACAGTCGGAGCGCCGTCCTGATAAGGACGTGCTGCACGACTGTGTTGCTCTTTCTGTGAAGTTTGCAACTTTATACGCACCGCTCTGGAGGACCGGACCCAAAGAACGCCAGGCAAGGGAGAAACCCAGCTCGACCGTCTGCCACTGCGTGTACACACTCTGGACCGGGAGAATGCTCTCGTTCGCTCAGAATCGCTGGTCACAGCAGGAGGAACCCTCATCGACTCGATCAGAAAGTCTCTGAAGCGAAAAGGATAGCGTCTGCTGGCGCCAGGTGAGCTTATATACTCAGTTGATTGCTTATGCCGCTCACCTGCGCAGGCTTGCGCTGCCAATTCATTCTTAATTGGCCCGTTCAATACTCTTTCAGACGAGTAGCTTCTGAACCGAACCTCCCAATGCGTGGATTTTACAATCAAATCCACTTATAGTGCTGAAGTTCCCCCCGAAGGGGAACTGCACCACAACAATCATTAATTCATTGATAGTATGTCCCTATAAATACCATTAGTGTGAAAAGAAACACATTTTTAGGATCACACTGCCCCATAGTGTTCAACTTACAAAAAAAGTCAAATGTATTTTGAAAGAGTTTTTATGATTTAACTAAAATTGCAGCCTGAGTTAAATATTTTACTACCTCATAGATTTGTGTGAGTAAGTACATTTAAGCTGTCTTAATTAAATGAACGCAAAATGATGTAAAAACTGCTTCAAAAAATCATACTCTGCATTAAAAATGCATCTTGTAAAAAGTTTGTTCTTGAGTAAAGGTGAGAATTAGATATGACACTACATGACTCTACCTTAAACATGTTATAATATCAAAACATGGCTAATATGCTTACTAAGAGACATTTGATACTTAACAGCAATTTACCTTAGCATATCCAAGCATGATCATCCTCACAAGCACAACGTTGATGTGCACTTCCAAAGATTCATCGTGGTAAATCTCATTCACCTGTAAACACACGATAAAAAAACACATTATTATGCCTTAAGCGCAACATAATAAAATAACAAAACACTGAATTACACAAAGCGGAAAATGGATACCATGCGAGGAAATAAGCTGTGTCATCCAGCACCTAGTCATCTATGACAGCTACTGATTTTATCAGCTCCAGGGACTGCAAAAAAACAAACAATGCTGCTTCTTCCTATTTCTGAACCCTCAACATGACTGACAATGAGCAAGAGAGTGCCATGCTTTTTCAACAACAGAACCAAGATAAAGGGAGCTGGAGGAAATGGGATCTCAAACTCGTAAGAGTGGCTCTGAGAGGCATAGAAGGCGTTTTAGGCAGGTCATGGGGCTACGGTTGGCATGGAAAAGCCTATGAAAGGTTGCTAAATGAAAAGGCCCCAGTGTTGAGCTGGTCATACAGAGGGCTTTTAAAGGTTCGATGTTTTTCCTTCCCCACCTAGCTAAGAGGCTGCTGTATGGGGTGCTGCGTTACGGAGGCACAGTTTTGCTGGCTGAATGCTGGCTGTAGTGCTGTGCCCAATGACTACATCCTAAAAAGCACAAACATTTCTTCTAAGATTTCTGGAACTTTTTTTTTTTTAATTGGTCACCAGCAGCAGCACATATCACCACAAGTTTTTACATACTGTACATCCACCGCTTTACATCAATGAATTTACAGTTTAATAGATTACATCCTCCCTCTCAAAACATCATTAACTTTTTATAAAGTAAGTGACAAATACATTAGACATCAAAAACACTGTATGCACTGTAACTTGCAACTGCCATTAAAATGCTACACTTACAAAAATTATGTGTTAAATAATAACATAATAATATATAAATTATAATAATGATAATAATAATAATAATAATAATGTGTTATGGCTATATTTAAAATGTTGTGTATTTTTAAATGATTGTTTGTAAAAAGAAAAAGAAGAAGCGGGAAAAAAACAACACTGTGTGCGCAAAACAATGAGTATTAAATATCAACTAATCAGATTTTTTTCATTGTTGGACTGTACAGTTAAAATCAGAATTATTAACCCCCCTGAATTATTAGCCCCCCTGTTTATTTTTTACCCAAATTTCTGTTTTACGTAGAGAAACTTTTTTGTTGTTGTAATAACTGATTTAGGCGACGCAATGGGGCAGTAAGTAGTGCTGTCGCCTCACAGCAAAAAGGTTGCTGGTTTCCCAAACAACGTTGTAACTTGCGGCTGAACTATCATAGTACTGTTGTGATTCGGGATAGATACAAACAACTGAAGGTAAGATCCAAATGCAGGTTTATTCGAAGGTCAGGCAAGCAATGGTCAAAACAGGTATGAACAGGAATATGAGGGCAAATCCAGAGTCGTAATCGAGGTACAGGCAAAAGGTCGAAAGGCTGGCGGCTAAACAGGATAACTGGGATACTAAGCTAGATTCAGACACGGAGAAACAAGACAGGGAGAAACGCGTAGAAATGTCACCAAACAGTAGACAAGACTCGGCAATGTGAATCAGTCTGTGTGCTGCTTAAATACTGAGTGAACTCTTAGTCTGTGACCGGTTTCAGCTGGTGATGTAATCAGGAAGATGAGTGACCAGGCGTGCGTGATTGGAAGAATGATGATCGCTGGTTATCGTAACATAGCCCCCCCTCTAAAGAGCGGCTTCCAGACGCTCCAAATACAGTTCAGGCGGGAGGTGGAGCGGAGGCGGAACAGGGGGAGGGATGGAGGGCCAGGACCATGCAGCTGGAGCGTACCTGGGGCGTGGAGCTGCTGAAGACCCGGAGCGTTGAGTTGTGGAAGGCCTGGAGCGTGGAGCTGCGGAAGACCCGGAAAGTAGAGCTGTCGTAGTCCTGGATCGTTTGACAATGGAGGACCTGGAGCGTGGAGCTGCGGATGCCCCGGAGAGTGGAGTTGCGGAGAGCCTGGAGCGTGGAGCTGCGGAAGACCCGGAGAGTAGAGTTGCGGAGGGCCTGGAGCGTGGAGCTGCGGAAGACCCGGAGAGTAGAGTTGCGGAGGGCCTGGAGCGTGGAGCTGCGGAAGACCCGGAGAGTAGAGTTGTGGAGGGCCTGGAGCGTGGAGCTGCGAAAGACCCGGAGGAAGGAGCTTAAGTGGCAGCGGCCATTCAGGAAGTTCAGCAGACGGCGGCCATTCAGGAGACTTGGGCGGCGGCCATTCAGAAAACCCAGCCGGCGGCCATTCAAGAAGTTCAGGAGGCGGCGGCCATTCAGGAAGCTCAGGAGGCGGCGGCCATTCAGGAAGCTCAGGCGGCGGCGGCCATTCAGGAAGCTCAGGAGGCGGCGGCCATTCAGGAAGCTCAGGCGGCAGCGTCGACTCTGGCTGCGTCTCCAGCTGTGGCGCTGGCTGCGGCGTGGACTCTGGCTGCGGCGTGGACTCTGGCTGCGGCGTGGACTCTGGCTGCGACGTGGACTCTGGCTGCGGCGTGGACTCTGGCTGCGGCGTGGACTCTGGCTGCGGCGTGGACTCTGGCTGCGGCGTGGACACTGGCTGCGGCGTGGACACTGGCTGCGGCGTGGACACTGGCTGCGGCGTGGACTCTGGCTGCGGAGGGTCTGGCAGCACTGGAGGGTCTGGCAGCACTGGAGGGTCTGGCAGCTCTGGAGTGTCTAGCAGCTCTGGAAGGTCTGGCAGCTCTGGCAGCACTGGAGGGTCTGGCAGCTCTGGAGGGTCTGGCAGCTCTGGAGGGTCTGGCAGGTCTGGCAGCACTGGAGGGTCTGGCAGCTCTGGAGGATCTGGCAGCTCTGGTAACTCCGGTAGTGGTGACCATTCTGGGGACTCAGTTGATGGCACTTCAGGAACTAGAACAGGAACTAAGGCAGGAACGGACAAGGAACAGGAAACCATCTTGTGAGCTGGTGGCAGATTGGCGCTTACCACATTGTGAGCTGGAAGGCTGGTTGTGACCACATTGTGAGCTGGAAGGCTGGTTGTGACCACATTGTGAGCTGGAGGACTGGAGTCGGCCATCTTGTGAGCTGGAAGACTGGAGTCGGCCATCTTGTGAGCTGAAGGACTAGATGCGGCCATTTTCTGAGCTGGGAGTGTGGTGATGGAATGAGCAGCAAGCCCCGGTGGTATCTGGTCTTGCTGTACACTGCCCCTCCCCAAAAAATATTTAGGAGTTTCTTCCACCTCACCTACGGTGAAGGACGAGTCCACAGTGCGTAGAGCATAGTCCAAAAATTCAGAGAAAGTCCCTCGAGAACGAACACTTGAAAGTGTGCTCTTTAGCGGCTCATTAAGCCCATAAATAAAAAAAGTCAATGAGCATACAGTCTGGTAAATCAGTGGTGTTAGCGATCTCCAAATAACACTGGATGTGGTTCTCGAGGGATTGATTACCTTGGCGTAGACGGACCAAAAACACTGCTGGATCCATACTGTGGCCGAGTCTTCTGTTGTGATTCGGGATAGATACAAACAACTGAAGGTAAGATCCAAATGCAGGTTTATTCGAAGGTCAGGCAAGCAATGGTCAAAACAGGTATGAACAGGAATATGAGGGCAAATCCAGAGTCGTAATCGAGGTACAGGCAAAAGGTCGAAAGGCTGGCGGCTAAACAGGATAACTGGGATACTAAGCTAGATTCAGACACGGAGAAACAAGACAGGGAGAAACGCGTAGAAATGTCACCAAACAGTAGACAAGACTCGGCAATGTGAATCAGTCTGTGTGCTGCTTAAATACTGAGTGAACTCTTAGTCTGTGACCGGTTTCAGCTGGTGATGTAATCAGGAAGATGAGTGACCAGGCGTGCGTGATTGGAAGAAATGCATGTATGGAAATGTAGTCCTGGGGAATGCGGAAGTGAAGTTCATAATGAAGAGGAAACCAGCGATCTCCAGAGAATGATCGCTGGTTATCGTAACAAGTACAATGCATCGTTTGGGAAAAGAACAATGTAGTGATGAGTGTTTCCCTAACCCCCCAGGTCTCTGTCACAGATTCATAGTTTGAACCACGCTAGTTATAATGTAAAAAACACATAAAATTGAAAAAAAATACAATATTAGTTTTGATAAAAACATGTACTCACTTTCCATATTAAATATATGCAAATGACACATATAGGGCCAATGTTTCCTTTACAAATACTATTGAGAAAATTTCATATTATATTCTAAAACATAAAATCACTTTAAAAAGCTAACACGTATTCTAATCTCATTTATGAATCATATAAACACATAATGACACTACTTATTAAGAAATGAAATTTTATATTATTTATAATTTATTAGGGAGTGAAAAAAATATTTTCTACTACTTTAATATCAATAATAATAATAATAATAATAATAATAATAATAATAATAATAGTTATTATTATTATTATTATTATTATTATTATTATTATTATTATTATTATGTAAGATGTAGTTGTTTTTCAAGTCTACTTTTACAATTTGTACACATTTAAACCAATGCAGAAATGTTCTAATCTAACCAACAGGCCCATGTAATTTACTGTACAGATACTTAATAAATAACCAACTATAAATTAAAAGCAGTAAAATATGCTATGTTTTTTGTTTTCACAAGCTTTGCGGACGTAACATAAATTCCACTTTTAAATAAAAGGCCACATATAGCTTTCGTTAGGAGCCACAGCTGTGTTCAAAATGACATCAATGTTTTCAAAGTGCACTAGAAAAGGAACGCAATTGTCAATATTGCAAAAACTAAACTGTAAAATTACTTTGAAAATACACCTATGAGTGATGACTTTCATGCTCTTTTCTAATCATTCCAAGTTTAAATGTCAGAACATTTTAAATGAATAGGTCATAGGGGGATAACTGGGAATAGAACACAGCCAGGATCTGTAATTCGAACTACAGCTCCAAAGGTGTAGTTGCAAGCGTACAAGTTTGCGACGCAGTTTGCGAATGTTCATTGGAACAATGGATTTGGGAAATGGCAAATCAACAAAATATGTTTGTAACAGCGAAACTTGCAACCTTAGTTGG